AAACCAGCTTTCTGCTGATTTCCTTAGGCAGTGTTTTGTAATTCTCATTGTAGAGATTGTTCACCTCCCACATTAGCTGTATTCCTGGGTATTTTATTCTTTTGTGTCAATTGTGTAATGGGATTGCGTTCCTGATTTGTCTCTTAGCTTGGGCTGTTGTTGGTGTACAGGAATGCTAGTAATTTTCATACATTGATTTTGTATCCTGAAACTTTGCTGAAGTTGTCTATCAGCTGAAGCAGCTTTTGGGCTGAGACTATGCGGTTTTCTAGATAGAGAATCATATCATCTCCAAACAAGGATAGTTTGACTTCTTCTCTTCCTATTTAGATGCTCTTTATTTCATTCTCTCTCCTGACTGCTCTGGCCAGGACTTCCCACACTGTGTTGAGTAAGAGTGGTGAGAGAGGGCATCCTTGTCTTATGCTGGTTTTCAAGAGGAATGCTTCCAGCTTTTCCCCATTTATGATGTTGGCTGTGCGTTTGTCATAGATGGCTCTTATTATTTTGAGTTATGTACCTTCAAAACCAAATTTATTAAGAGTTTTTAACATGAAAAGGTGTGGAATTTTATCAAAAGCCTTTTCTACATCTATTAAGATAATGTCATTTTTGTCTTTAGTTCTGTTTATGTGATGAATCACATTTGTTGATTTGTGTATGTTGAACCAGGGACAGCTTACACCATGCACCTGGAAAAGCCACAGGCACTCAATGTCAGACTGTGAAATTAGCCACAGGGCCTGTGCCCTGAAAAGCCACAGGGATGGAGCTACCCAAGGCCTTGGGAACCCACTCCTTGTATCAGTGTGCCCTGGATGTGAGACATGGAGTCAAAGGAGATTATTCTGGAGCTTTCATGAGTGCCCTGCCACATTTTTGACTTGCATGAGGCTTGTGGCCCCTTTGTTTTGACCAACTTCTCCCATTTGGAACAGGAACATTTACCCAATGCCTGTACCCCCTCTGTAATTTGGAAGCAACTCACTTTTTTATTTTACAGGCTCTTAGGTGGAAGGGACTTGCTTTGTCTCAGATGAGACTTTGGACTTGGACTTTTAAGTTAATGTTGGAATAAGGCTTTGGGGGATTGTTGGAAAGGTGTGATTGGTTTTGAAGTATGAGAATATGAGATTTAGGAAGGGGCAGGGGCAGAATATGGTTTGGCTCTGTGTCCTCACCCAAGTTTCATCTCCAACTGTAATCCCCACGTGTCGAGGGAGGGCCCTTGTGGGAGGCAAATGAATCATGGTGGTGGTTTCCCAGTGCTGTTCTTGTGAGAGTGAATTCTCATGAGATCCAATGGTTTAAAAGTGTTTGGAAGCTTCCCCCTCTTGCTCTCTTTCTCCCACTGCCTTGTAAAGAAGGTGCTGCTTCCCCCTTGCCTTCCATCATGATTCATGATTGTATGTTTCCTGAGGCCTCCCCAGACATGTGGAACTGTGAGCCAATTAAATCTGTTTTGTTTGTAAATTATCCAGTTTCAGGTGGTATCTTTACAACAGTTTGGATATGGACTGATGCAGTGGTTGTTTCTCTAACTGTGGTGTAGACCAAGTACAGTCAACAGACTTGTTTTCTGGATGTTTTCACAGGGCCAAGGCTTTGTGTGGGGTCTCTGTTTGTAGCTGACTTCTCATCTTTGGTTTCACAGGGGGATGTGTCAGGAAGTATTTTTGGTGTTGAAGCTTGGGGTGTGATGCAGTAGGTGGTGCTTAGGTGTGTTCAGTAGTAGGCTCTTGCTTGGCTGGGTGGCTCCTATTTCCTCACAGTTGTAGCCATGCTCCCCTACAATGCTCTGAAAGTGTGGGCTCCTCTTTCACCTCAGTGCTGGCTGTAGATGATGGCCTGGTGCTCCTGGGCTGCCCACCACTGGGGTGACCTCAGGGTTTATGCTTATTTTCCAATGTGGAGGCAGCAGAGGAAGGTACCTTAACAGTGGTTGTGGCTGAGGATCTTTTGCTTGTCTCCTGAGGGCTCCATCCCAGAGAGTTGCAGGTCAGTAATCACTGGGTGCAGTAAACCCAGGATGAGGGGTCTGTGCTGCGGGCCCAAGCTGGGGATACCTGCTTGGTGATGAGCAGCAGGGGTTCATGTGATCCATGGGAGATGGACTGGCCTCCTCTCCTTGGGTCTCCTGCAGCTTGTTGCAGATATGGATGAGGTACTTAGGGTCTTTGCTCCTTGGTTAATCTGAGGATAGTTGGGGTAGTACCACTGCAGAGCCAGTGACAGAGGCTTTTGCTTGCCCTGGGGCTTCACCTCTGAGAAACATTTAGCTGCTGTTACTGGGACCGTTCAGCTGGTGGGGTGCGGTTGCTGTGCTGCTGGTGTGAGCTTGTGGCGTGCTGGGGAGCAAGGAGTTAAGGGAGTCGGGAGATAAGAGTGGTGTCTTCTCTTTATGACTGCAGCGTGCTGTAAGCTCAGGTGTTTCTTCTCCAAACCAAGGTCAGCAGCGATAGAACTACTGCCGTGGTATTGGCAGAGGGGCTGTCACATGCTTCTGGGAGCGTCTCCAGGAAACTCCAGGCCACTACCAGTGGGTATGCTCAGCCATGGTGGAGCAACTGTTCTGTGGTCACAGGCTGGGGCCCCTGCCTGGTGAATAGTCAGGGGATGGGGGTTCCCAGGGAAGAGGAGCTGAACTCCTCTCTGTGTGGTCTCTTTTAGTTGATTACAAGGTTCTCTTCAGGTCAGGGGAATATTTTTCTATTTATTTTTTTTCTTACCATCATACTCTCCTCTGTTGTCTCTCTTTGTGGTTCATTTTTAGAAGATGTTGGCCCTTTCAGGTCTGTCCTCCAGGTTTCTTTTGGCTCCTTGTATTTT